AACCCATCCAAGCCATGGCCTTTGTATAGCGTCTGACTTGGATCTGTAAACCGCGGCCCTGGTCATCCTACTACTTGACCAAGAGCCCCCAACGCACCTCGAGCTAGATCGCGGCCACGTCGGAGCTTATCTTGTCCACAGCGACCTGCGAAGGACTCAATCGAATGGTGAGACAATGCCGTGATCAAGTAAGTACCCAGGTTCCTCTCTGCTGCTACACCTAGGAAATTTATCGCAAACGAACACGGCACATGATACAGCATGGGCCCGCGAGTACTGCCAGTCGATGGTTTTGTGGTGTACAAAAATCCAGACGAACAGCGGCACGAGTTCGCAGACCAGGCAGTCAAGTTCAGCAGCGCGTATCTGTCACCAGAAACAGCATGTTTTCGTCTCACTTTTACCATCTTGGGTGGCGAGCACAACAAAACTGTCATGTATATGCAAATTACGCCTGACATCCTCGACTCGTTCCGCCATGAGACTTGCGAATTGAAGAATCGTGACCTACCTCACCTAGGCAACGTGCGGAGGCGGCTGGGCCGCAAGGCCGGCAGGGGCGACCTAACTCACTTTCGATTTAACTTGCGCAATGGCGTCCACGTACAGCGCATCGTACCCAACGACTTTCCCGACTACGAAGCTCTTGACGACCCGGCTCGGCATGTCCTTGACATTGTTTCATCGGTCGCCGCCTCTCCATCATTCTCCTTATACATTCCGGCCAATCAAGTACTGCGGTCTGTGCTTGACAGTTGCGTTGAAGCTGCTGAGCGATGTTCGGTGTTAACAGAGAAAGAGCTACAGTCGTATCTGCGAGCGGTTGACTTGCAGAGGCTGTATGGTGGCAAAGGTGGCAGGGTACTTGCCGTACGTGATGACGACGCTGCCGTAGATCGTGATCTCGCCATCGACGACCATGATAGTACCTCTCAGCTGGAGACCGATTCGTGCGCGACAGTGGGTTTCGACGTTGTCCCGCGTGATCAGGACTCTCCCCCGCGGTATGACGAGCGCTCCACCGACGTGAAGAAGCCCATGGCGAAGCTGGCCGACACGGTCAACGTCGTCGAAAGCTCCGTTATTGGCTGTCCGCCGCCGGAGTATGGTGACATCGAACAGGCTCGCGGCACGCCGATGGCTCTCAAGCGCGTGCGCCAATGGGTGGATGAGGATGGGTCTCCGCACCCAAGTCCCAAACGAGCGTTTTCACTGGGTTCATGTGTCGCGATATCCGCCTCGGCTTCAGCAACGAACGTGCGACGACTTGATGCAACAAAGAGACTCGAACTTGAAGATGCGGATGTCGACGGCTACATGCTGCTGCACGACTTATCACGTCGGGTTATTGAGCAAGAAAACCGGCAGGTGATGCAAGAACAAGAAAACCACCAATTACGGCATGAGATCAAGCTATTACAAGAGAAAGTCGAACAACTGCGACAGCAGAATAAGATCTATGAGAAACGTCAAAGTGAGGCGGAAGAGATTTGTGGTGGTTTGAAATATCAACAAGACCTGGTCAAGGACGAGCTGGAGAATTTCGATGCCCAGGTTGATGAGCTGGGAGGGAGACTTGGCGAGGTTGAGAAGGAAATGCAATGTTTTCCGGAGGAGCTGGTGGATTTGGTGAGACAGACGATTCGGGACATGTTGCAAGAGGACATGCTGCAAGAGGACATGGTGCGAGACGCAATCGCCGATGTGGTCAAGGAATGCGTGGATGACCGGTTGAGCGACTACATACGCGGAGAGGGCGAAGTTAACTTGGCTGGACCAGTGAGAGCATATTTGTGTAAGATCGTCACGGACCAGGTAGCCACGGTGAAGGCAAAAATATGCAAGGCTCTACGAGAGTAGAGATTTACCATCATATATCGATGTCCTGCAAGGGTGCAAATTATGCTCGCGACTACGCTGACTCGTCGCCACGCTCATAACTGGGCCGAGCAGATCGCGGGCATTTACGTGCAGTGTGACGGGTGAGGGCAAACTGGTGGCGGATTATCGAGCCAACAGAAGATGGACAAGGTCTTGTGATTCCCGCAACGACAAAACCCACCCTTAGAGCCAGGTTCAGAGCATTCATCACGGCAAACAAACGCGGAGCATCACAATGCGGGTTGTCGGCAGTCTGCCAAAGCACGACCTGAAACGGGAGCTGCTGATCGGTACGATGAGCTGCGAATGGTCGATCAAGATCGCATGCGATTGTATTCGTGCGGTCTGCTGAGAACTACGTGAAGCGGACTCGAGAGATCACGCAAAGCTGGCAATGCCTATTGAGGAACGGCCAGCTTCACGAATCAGAGCAAGGCAGACTGACACGCTTCGTATGCCGCAGGCGGGCGGCTCTGGAGGCGTTCGCCTCAAGCGACGTACTGGGGACTTTCTAGCGTTCGACAGGTTGCCGCGCTGCACCACCCTTGGATGTACTGCGAACTGCATGGTACACTTGAAAATGGATCTTCCCCTGCACGACTTTTGGCGCCCGGTGTGGCGCTGTTCTCCAGCGTGTCGCCAGTCGAGTCGGGGCCAGGCGGCGACGTGTGTCCTATTGACTGCCTGCTGCAGCCGCACCTGTTCTCCGGTGTGCATGGCCGTGCCCATTCGACTGCCACGTTGCCCAGCTGGGTATCGCACGACGACTTGGGAAGTGGTGGTCCGCAGCTCGGTAACGCCCGCCCTTCGCCTCGGTCCAGTGGAGCACACAACATTACGAAGAAGCTATCCGAGAGATCGGATTGCCACAGGCAGGCTTTCCATCAGTGTAACGGAAGCCAGCGTGTTGGCGGACAAGATTGCTGCGGCCTCGAGACAGGCTAGGAACACACGATGATATAAGCGTGGGTCGTGATAGCAAAGACACACTAGCTTTTAGATGACCGGGCGCTACAATGTCATATACCTCTATTTGCATAACTTACATCACGTTCAATGATTCCGGTTGAAATCCAGACACTCAAGGCAGTAGGATCACGGCCAGACTTTTCTGGCGATGTCCAGCCTGTAAATCGTCGCCATCGTTGACCCCTCCGTTGTGATGCAGGCCACGCTGCCATGCTGGAAGACTTGGCAACTTCCTTCACTATGATTCGCCAGGTAGTGATGCTCAGCCGCACGAAGCTGGCGCTTACGACCCAACCCTCATTTCCGCGAGCACTCCATCTTCAGGGCGCATTCTTCCCCTCTGCCCAATTTCAAAGTCGAAAGTAAAGGACCTGCTCAACAGGAGATGGCGAGACAAAGTAATACTCCAACGCGACGAACAAGATGGTAAGAAAAACGGTCCGTAGTCGGAACATTCAATGACTTTCTATTGCAGCCACTACGCCAGCTTTCACCTGGTCCGCAGAACGGTGGTGAGGATGCCGTCGAGATTGAATACGTTGAATGGCCTTTTGTCTCGACGTGGCTAACTGGCTTCGGCCGCCGACGATAGGACGCCGAACCCTTTAGGAGACAACCTCAAGATGGCCTATTACTAACACCACGAGCAACCGCAGCATTGGCAAAGAGTCTTGAAGGTAATGCATATGGGGATGGACAGTGGGCTTCTGGGCTTCTAGGAAGCAAGGATATGGACGAAGGTGGAGATCATGTAGATGATCACACGAGCCCTGATAGCTTAGCTGGGGCGTAATAAACTTTGTATGTATGTATGTATGTATGTATGTATGTATTGAGGAGTCCTGAGTTCTAATTAAAGTGGGGACAGGCACATGCCGGAATCTCTGGTATAAGCGCATTTGCAGCGCGCCACTTCAGATCTGTGCTAGGAAACTTCGAGTCGCCAGATAAGCGGCCCCAGTAATCGGTCGTGACATCAAGGGCCTCGAGTTGAACACCGCGGTGGAACGCCCAGCCCCTCTAAGATGGTACCTTACGTAGTAGACGGCTGGTCTTTGTATGTAAGCAAGCAGGCCTCCTCTTGAAGCTTGTCAAGTTATTCCATGACTGACGGGCCATCTGAATCGCCGTCGTCAAGCTATTGGCAAAGAAAGCCAGTCGCTACCTCCGGCCAAGCGTCCAGGGTTCCTCGACCTATGGACGCCTTTGAATCCTGTGAGATATTTCACAATCCAAACCCTCAAAAGGAAGTCGATGCAGGGATTATGCTGGCGAAACACTGTGTACCATCCTTCTCCATATTGTAAATCCGACCGCCTTATAGCAGCGTCCCGGCCATGGCGTCCGCTAGGGATGGCTGTCCGGCCGATATGGCCACCCCTGCCCGCCACGAGCCCGGGTACACTGCCCTGAGGCAATCCACTATGCGGCCTTGCGCCGGCAACGTACTGAGTACGTGCACCATAGCTCCATGAGAACCCGCGGGTTACCGGAGGCGCGCGGCTCTATGGACCATAGACCCAGCGATGTTGCTGAATCTGCAGCCTGATAGCGAGCGCTCGGTGAATGAACCCTCCGCAGGCAGCTAATTGAGCACATCCGCCACCGAGTGGTAGAACGCTTCTGTCACGTAACAGGGATAGTAACCGCATCTCACGAAGTGCCCGTCACGTGCTGAATCACGTGTCTATCTCAGACATCGTGTATATAGACCTTTTCCTTTTGTCTATTTCTACTTTAATAGATTAAGCCACTTTTACCACACTCCGTATGCCTATTGCTGCGTGCCATAACTCGTGACAACTTCCCTGAGGTTGCTGCAAACCAGATTGGCCAAATCCGCCCAGAAACAACACCACGTGATTCAGTCATCTTCTAGGCCCCACCGCTGAAGACCGAGTTCCCTCGAGTCCTCCCATCCGTGCGAGAGCTGACGGAGACCCCATCCAAATCATGAGCTTATCACAGGAGAGAGTTTTCACAACCCGACATCCACACTCGCACCATCACTTGCGCATCGCGGACAGATTACTCAGTTCGTACCCACTACAACGACCTTACGTGGATACCCCGAGCAGCCTTATTTCGTTCTTGCTGGCAACACAGCACAAGCGTCAAGGGTTTGGGATGAGCTCGTGAGGGTTATGGCGCACGTAGGCATGCTAAGCTAAGAAGGCATGTCTTGGAAGGGCGCCCTCGTCCTCCAGGGCTGGCGTGTTTGCACGGCTCGAAACGTGCAGTTTGGGGGGGCTTTTTGAGATGGTCACCCGCTCAAATAGGAGTCGTGTTCTTAGCCAGCTTTCGCCCTTGGGCATCTCAAAGATATCATTGTCTTTGCGCACAACACAGTACAACATGATGATTTCCGAAACGGGACTACAGTAGATGTTTCGGTATGCTCGAGGCGTCCTGAACTCCCATGCCTCAACGGGCGCCTGAAGCAGCAACGTGTTGCGACGGGAACTTTCCCTGGTTCCAAGGGCTAGCCCATTAGGATCTTCCCAAGCACGCGAGTTCGCGAGGAACCCTCACAGCAAAATCCCGCTCACTACCGCAGGTTCCATTCACCTTCTGTGTAGGGGGTAAGTCGAGTGGTTTCAGTGACGAGCCGAAAGGAAGACTAGCCACTAGGGGTTATCCTTGAACGCTCGCAAGGTTCATGCCTATCAAGATAAGGGCCACCGCACCTCAACTGGAACTGATGGGCAACACGTAGCAAGTCGGTGAGTGCTATATGGCCGATGTCCGACGGAGCGTCCTCGAGTGTGGAAACTCTCAAGGCCAAGACAGCTCACGAAAGGCAGGGTGACGGGCGGCCCTATTTGCGAGCAAACCAACAGGGATATGACCGCAACCCAGAGCAGGGTGTTGAATCACATGACCACCAGGCTTAAGTAGCACCGGACATGGGTTGGATGTTGTATAAAGGTGGTAATCGCATCTCAACAGTTGGTCGGCGGTTCTAAGCTACCCAGCCCCAAACACAAGTAGCAAGGTTGCCCGTTCGAAGATGACACATGCTGAGCTCTCCCCCGAGAGGATGCCGTATTATCTCTCTGAGGATAACACCGACCCAAGCCTCAACGACGTAAATGCACCTCTTTCTCTTGATTCTGTTCGCCCTAACTTTGTTTCAGGCCTATCTGAAAGATGCGCACGATCTGCTGCACCACACTCTGAAGAATGAGCCCAGAGCAAAGGTAGACCTAAATTCCTTGCCTTACAGCTGCACAATCCTTGATTATGGCATGCGCACTGGAATCTGGTCGATTGAAATGGCAGAGTTGGTCACGAGTCCTCCCATCGTTAGAGTCGCAAAGTTGACCAAATGCAA